GCCCAAAGTCGTTGTATGAGTACGCCCTCACTGAGGGCGTCAGGGCAAGGGTGTCAGGTCCATGGAAGAAGGCAAAGGACAAAAAAAAAAAGAAACTGAACTTAGACCGGGAAAGCAGGCGGGTTCATACATTCTGCAAAGTAATAGTGTGGGCATGCCCTCCTCCACAAAGTGCCAGCAGCCCGTGGACCGAGCGTGCCTATGTGGCGGGGCACCAAAACTTGATATAGAAAGAAAACAAGAAACACAAACAATGAAAACCTGAAACTGGCCACTATAGCTGTTAGATACGAACATGTAAGTTTTGGTGTGAGCACGACTTGGTGCACAGCCTTCCCCGACATGATCTTTTGTTTTGCTTTTTGTTTTTCGGAGGGGTCCTAGAGGCCCAACTGCCGACCCTCGTCCAACCCCCGAAACGTTCGGAAAAGATGGGAAAACATCCAATTTTGAATGTTCCCATTTTCCCCATCTTCCCCACAAGTGACAGAGCTAGTGGTGGTTTAAACCACCAGTACCTCGACCCGCTATCGGCCGCGGGCCTTCCCGTATACGCGCCGCAACTCATGTGGGGTCGGCCACGGGAAGGCCCGGTCGTTGCTAGGACGCCGGCCCCGCTTCTTTCAGGACGACACACACTACATTTTCTCAAAAACAAGAAAAAAAAAGAAGGAAAAACAAAAGGAAAAAACAAAGAAAAAAACGTGAACGCGCCGCAGCTTCACATTGAGAGAGAGAGAGAGAGAGAGAGAGAGAGAGAGAGACTCGTTTCGAAAAAGGAAACGGGAATGAATCTTCCCGCGATTCATTCCCATTTCCTTCCTTGAAACAGCCACAGAGAGAGAGAGAGAGAGAGAGAGGCGGCGAGTTTGCCGCGACCCTCCGTGCAGGTCGCCGCCCCTCTCTCTCTCTCTCTCTCTCGTCGCGGCTGGCCTCATGGTAGGTCCATCGATAGGATGAGCAAACTCGAATGAATCTGGCACCATAGCGTTGGAATATACACTGCCCTACTTGTTTTTGTGTGAGTGTATGTGTGTGTGTGTGTGTGTGTGTGTGTGTGTGTGTGTGTGTGATAGAGAGAGAGAGAGACCACGTAAGCCTCCAACGTCGCCGCTGGCCTCACTGTACTTCCATCGATAGGATGAGCAAAATCGAATGAATATGGCGCTAAATCGTGGCAATATACACTGCCACAGTCTTCATTCCCTCCTCCAACGTCGCGGCTGGCCTCCTGGTACTTCCGACTATAGGATGAGCAAAATCGAATGAATCTGGCCTGTTACGTCAGAATATACACTGT